GAGCCTGGAAACGACATCCTTTCTCCCAAGAGGGACAGCACAGCCAGCCCCCCTGCTGCCCGCAAACTCCCAGGCCCAGCTGATCTCGCCAAGAATTTGCTACTGCCTCTGGGTCCTTGTTGTAGTAATGAGCCTCATTCCGTCAGCTCCACCTCTTCCGAAGGGACAAATGTTCTTGCTCATTGTGGTTCAGTACGTAGCCACCTGTTTCCAACTGGTGCCATCATCTTGGGAACCCTTGGGTGGGGAGAAGAGACGAGTACTCAAATCTGAGTAAAGGAGGTACTTTCCCTTAAACAGCACGCTGCTAACCTGTGGAACTCATTGCCACATGATATTATTGAGGGCAGGAGTTCAGTAGAATTCAGAAAAGAAATAGGCGTTGCTATGGCTTACAAGAGCATCCACAGTTATATCAGATTTTTTTTTTTAAAGCTTCCTGCTTCAGGGCATGAGCCAACCTCTGCCTGCCTGGGTTTGGAAAGGAACTTCGCCTATGGGCAGATTATGCCATAATTGTCCATGGTGGGTTGCTTATGTCTTCCCTTAAAGCAGTTGGTTCTGGCCGTTGCTGGACTAGAGGGAGCAGGGGTCTGATCCAGTCTGGCAATCCTACGTTCCTGTGCATCGATTCCCTCTTGGTGGCAGGGGTGGCGACTCGCTTGCATTTCCAGGGTGAGACCAGTCAAAGGCGCTGTCAACTGCTCGCCCGCCAAACGTGCAAGGCAAACAGATTCTGCATGCCAGCCTCTTCCCATCATCCTCCTGGTTGGGGAAGGCGAGAGAGGATGGTGGGATGAGAGGCAAATGGAAAAGCGAGAAACCACTGAAGGTTAAAACCAGAGAAGGGGAGAAAAGGCAAACCAGGAAAGAGAAATTGGGACATAGGCCTTAGTGATGGGAACTGGTTATGCAGAATTGCAGGCCCACTGCTGTCAGTCAGCCGACATGAAAGAGCATGTGGCTCATGGGACACCAGTATGTGCATTAGCGCACTATTGCCTCCTTGCACTAGTGCCTAGGCAAGCCCTTGCACTAAATAGCACGTTTCATCCACAGATCTCAGTACACTTTACAAAACTGAATAAACAAGCACGATCCCCATTTTACAGACCAAGACAGGGAGGCCGAGAGAGCGGAAATGCCCAAGGTTACACAGAGAGTCATGAGAGACCAGGACATAGAATCCCAATTTCCCTCTCACTCACCCTGGGCTCAGTCCACAGCCAACACTCATGAAAGGACAGCAAGCCACCAGCTTCCCTGGGGAGGTGGCCCTAGGATACGTACTTTGGACTAGGGCTGGTCGGAAACTTTCCACGGAAACTTTTATGTTTGTTTGTTTGTTTTTTGGTGGAAAACGATTTTCAACAAAATGGATGGCTGCTTTCCTCCAGAATATTTGGGGTTTTTTGTTTGTTTATTTTCTGGAAAACCTGAAAACCAAACAAAAATTGCCCCAAATATTTGGGTTTTGGTTGCAAAAAAAAATCAACATGTGGGGTTTGTTTTATTTTTTTGGTGAAAAGTCAAAATTTTTCAGTGTGTGGGGGGCGGGGGCAAATCCTATTTCCTGATCGGCTCCAGTTCTGCAGCTCTACAAGACGCTCCTAGCAGCATTGTCAACTGGCCGCTGAGCGTTTGGGCCAGTGCGTGGCCTCCCCAGTCCCTTTTCTTCAGTGGATACTGGATCAGCCACTGGCTCCCTCTCTGCTGATCCCTGGCCAGCCACAATGACAACTGGATTTTTTTTAAAACAGATGTGTTGGTTTAGCCTCTCCTGTCCCTGAAGAGATGATGGTGCAGCCCAGTAACCCTTCCATGGGACTCTCCTACCCCATGCTATGGAGGGCATGGAATGGAGCGCCCTCACTGGCTGATCATTGCTCATGGCTTTAGAAACCCAGATGTTTGGATGCCAGTGAAAATACTCAGTCCCACTGGGCACCTCTAGTAAAGGTTTCATTGAGATGGAATGAGCCCGTTGGGTTATGAAATTAAAATATTTATTAGAAAGAGGTTAACAGCTCGGCAGCTGGCTATGCCGGAACCCACCACCCTCTGTATGTTCTTGGGACCCAAGCAGCGCCATGTATTCAGTGGACCTGCCCTGGTAAATACTGTTGCACAGTATCAACAGCTAGACAAGGGCCTTTCCCTTCCAGACACCATGGGACAGAGATTCTGCTATAGGGTGACCAGATGTTCCGATTTTATAGGGAGAGTCCTGATATTTGGGGCTTTGTCTTATATAGGTGCCTATTACCTCCCACCCCATGTCCCGATTTTTCACACTTGCTGTCTGGTCACCCTACTCTGCTATCTCGAGCTATGTCGTGCTTTCTTTAAACCAGTGTGAAGTGGGTGTTAAATGCGATGGTGGCATTTTATGCCTGGTTTCTGTGACGAGAGGAGGTGCAGGGCAACAGAATCAAGACTTAAAAGTTTTAAAACTTTTTCACTCCCTTTTTGTACCCAAGTTGTGGGGTGGGGAAGGGGTAAAATCACTCCCTGCAAAACAACCCATTGCACATCGGAACTGGGGGATAACACAGTCTGTAAAAGGTGGGGGTCAGTGGCTTCACAGCACAACAGCGGACTAACATCCCCTTCATAAGTTCAGTTCCACGGGCCAAATTCAGCCTTGGTGTAAGCTGATACAATTCCCATTGAGGTCAGTGGGAGCTGTCCCACTTTGTGCCATGGCTGAATTTGATCCTGTCCAGACTTGCAAGTACTGTTTACATGACTGGGTCCAAATCCCTGGTGTGACTCTGTTGCCTTTAATGGGAGCAGCTGGACCTTAGCACCTCTGGAAATGAGACCCAGAGTTTCAACAGAGCTCAGCACCCGACATGCACCCACTCTGCTGAGCTGTTATGAAAATCGTGACCTAGAGCATTTCCCGCTGGTCACCCAGCAATTGAAGAAGCGAAAATCTGGGTGGTCGCTTCTGAAGTCTGGGTGCAACTGATTAAGCCTGGGTGCTGGGTATTATTATCCACACTTTACAGATGGTGGAAGCAGACGCACAGAGTGGGGAAGTGCCTTGCCCAAGGTCACCCAGCAAGTCAAGGTCAGAACCAGGAATAGGCCTCGGGATTCTTTACAGCCTCCCTTTCACCCATTGCCCAGCCTGGCTACTGGATTGTAATATACAAAAATCTCTCGGTCAAAACCATTTGTCAGACCGTTCACAGATTCTCTCTGGAGGTCTGCCCTGAGGGACAGGCACCGCATCCTGTTCCCGGATGTTCTGTGGCTTTAGTATTGCCATTCCCAACCATTTAAAAATCCTGAGCCAGGCCCCCCCAAAATAATGAGATTTACATAAAAATCATGGGATTTAAATAAAATTAAAAAGGAGGGTCTTTTTCTTTGTTTTCTGATTTGGGGACCTTAAGGCAACACTGAGGTCACATTTTCTGGCTTTTCCCCATAAACATGATGGGTAGAAACTCACCCTTTTTCAATCAAAGCTGAGATTGTCCTCTGTACACATGCTTCCAGGAGCTGGGGCTTTAAGGAAAACACCAGCTCCCACAAGACTTCTTTTAAAATCACAAGCGTTGGCAGCACTGTGGCTACTGATTTTTATACATTTGTTTGAAAAATTCCTTGGCTTACATTTTCAAAAGGGCCCGATGATTTTGAGTTGCCTCCATTTCAGGGGCCCAACTCGAGATCCCTTCAAGGGGCCTGATTTTTAGAGGACACGTGCTCCGCACTTTCTGAAAAAGCCGGCCCCTTTCAGACGTCTCCAGTCTGGCACCCCCAAAGATTGAGGCAGCCAAAGGCTCTTACTTGTCACTTTAGAAAATGTAGGTCTCTGACTCCTCACATTTGGCTGCTGTGATTTCTCACAGAAGCCTGACCCTCTGGTTTGCCAGATCCTAGGTGCCAGCAGTCATTTAACAAACACTGGGGAGAGGAATTTGATTGTGTTTGGGACAGACAGTTTCAATGTACTGAGATTGGTGCCCAGGCTGGGCCCCATAGTCCCAGTAGCAGATTACACCTGGTTTACCCTGATAAACCAGGTACCTCACATGAGAATTACAGCAGGAGACGGTGTTTTACTTTCCCACCTCCCTGAAGGAGGAGAAAAGGTCTCTGGGTTTATCTAGGACGGAGCATGATTAAGCCCCACTCTAGCTGGGCAGCAGGTCTCAGTTTCCTGCATTCCAGTGTTGGGGGGAGGGATAGCTCAGTGGTTTGAGCATTGGCCTGCTTAAACCCAGGGTTGTGAGTTCAATCCTTAAGGGGGCCCCTTAGGGATCTGGGGCAAAATCAGTACTTGGTCCTGCTAGTGAAGGCAGGGGGCTGGACTTGATGACCTTTCAAGGTCCCTTCCAGTTCTAGGAGACAGGATATCTCCATTCATTCAGTGATCTCACTTAGAGCTAGGTGTAAGCAATTACTTAGGGCCCTAAACAACTCAAGGGAGCCCCCTGTTAATTATTAGTATGTGTTGGGGGGGGCAAAATATTCCTGCTTGGGGCCCCCAATGGGCTAGCCCTGGCACTGATCTTGCTCCAGTGAAACATTTTTAGGACATTTTGAAATTATAACAAGAAGCAGACCCTGCCACCTGCCCACCCTGGCTCTCACCCACGCCTACAGTTCAATGGTTTGATTAGACGGGACCATGATGTCCTGGCTCCCAACTCTCACCTGCTGCTATGCCGAAGAGCCACAAGGTGCTGAGGCCCCTCGACGACTTCTATTGCAACAGAGAGCTCTCGGCCCTGGCCAGGATTACGCCCCAAGCACGTTACCGGGTGCTTCTCGGGTCCTGTCCCCAGACAGGGAAATGGGGCTCAGAGGAGGAGTTCTTCCTGCTGCTGGGGGGGCTGGTTTGTTTTGCCGAGTTCCTGCTCTGCTCCACGGGGCGGGGGGGTGGCTAGTGCCTGCGGCTGGCCCTGGCTGTGATGTTCATGCAGCACAAAAGGGCAGGAATTGGGCTCTAAAGGCTCTGCTCTGTTTTCTTTTCCCTTTAGATTGACTTCAGTGCTGACCAGATTGAAGGTAAGTGCCGGGCATCTTGCAAACCAGCGGTTGCTGCCTTTGCTGCATTGCCGCTGATTGGGAGGGGTAGAGCCCAGTAAGCCTGACTCTTAGCCCTTGGCTTTAATCACAAGACTGCAGAGGTGGCAGTAGAAACCAGGAGTCCGGACTCTGACCTGCTTGTTCTAGCCACTGGCCGACACTGCTTTGCAGACTGGAAACTAGAAGAGCAGTCCTGACTCCTAGGCCTTCGCCGACTATAATCATTAGGCCACGCTCCCCCCCCTCAAGCTAGAAATGGAACCCAAGAGTCCTGATCCCCAGCTGTCCATGCTGTAACCCAGTGGTCCCCAAACTCTTCACAGTCACGCTCCCCCTCACCCCTGTCCATGCCCCCCCCAGGAGACGGCTCCAGGGATGGGGGCGCAGATGGGAGTAAGGGGGCCAAGGCTGGGGGAGGGTCTGGGGCTGGGAACAGAGCCATGGCCCGAGGCCAAGGCTGGGGGCAAGGCTAGCGCTGGGGCCGGGAGCCAGGGCTGGAGCAGAGCTGGGGGCTGAGCAGGGCTGGGTGGTGCTCCCTCCTCGTCCCCTGGGGGGGGCTGGCCCAGGTCCCGCCATGCCACCCCAAATGTTCCTTCCACTCCCCGGGTTGGGGACCTCTGCTCTAATCACTAGATTACACTCCATCCAGGCATTGGTTCGTGCCATTTTATAGTGGCTAGAAGGTGCATATCAAATCAGAACGCAAAGGCGTTGATTGAATGCACAAGCTGGTACTAACAGCACACACGGCGCTACAGGTGGTGAGGAGGGTGGGATGGGGCGAGCCCTGTGGAGCACTTAGAAGAGAGGCTTGAGCAGAGCAAGTGGCAGCGGCAGGAGAGATGGGAAGGGATGGAGACAAGAGTGGTGGACATATCAATAGAAGCATAAGAGGAACATGAACGGGGGCCAGGCCAGGGATTCAGTAAGGACTCAAACTCCTAAAGCAGCAGAAGGAATATATGGAACCCAGTTCCCTGCTCTACTCTGCTGATGGGGGTGCCACCAAAAATGGAGGGGAAGCAAGTGGGTACTAGCAAGAGAAAAGCATTTTTGGTTCACGCTGAAGGATGCAGCCTTGGCTTGAAATCAGGGATTCCCTCTGAATGAGCAGATCCCAGCCACATAGAGAGATGTCCCCATAGTGATAGGGGTAGGCTGTGGTTATGGTTACACTTCTGATGGGCTTTATTAACCCCTCTGGATACAGCCAAGATCTGGGTTCAAATTCAGACTGGTGGAAGTACTGTAAGAAGATCAGGTCTCAGGCTGAGTCCTACAAATGGTCCCTGTGATGCCAAAAAAAAAAAGACAGTGAAAAATGTAAACACCACCAATACCGTGGTGTTTGGGTTTCACCAACAGTGAGATAGATGAATGCACAGCCTTACGTTCTTCTAACGTGCTTCTGGATGGAATCCAATCTGACCCAATGTTTGCCGTTATTTTCCCTGTAGAGGCCCACAGAGAGGGTACAAACCACAATGAATCCAAGACACAATTTCTAAATTAATCATACACTCATCTTGGGGAGACAGGACTAGAACTCTGCTCCTTCTGTTCCAAATAGAGAAGTGTTGGCCGCAGGAGCTAAAGGAGAATGCCCTTAGCTGACCCTAGTAACAGTTCCCTTAGATAGTCTCTGTGGGCCCAGCCACTAAAGGGCAACATCACTCGCTCACTCACCTGCACAAAGCCAGGGCAGCACAACACCACTGGCAGAGAAGTAGCTATTGTGATGTCACACCCAGGGGCAGCAGCTCCAGGGTTGCCTGCCCCACACCATGTAGGAAAGGAAAGGTGGGTGGATGGTATGAAGCAGCAGCATCAAGCTCACACATGTGCAGGATTTGGATTGCGAGGGATTGACACACAGTTTGGCAGGGGATCCTAGGCTGACAGAACCAAGCCATGGGCATTTATAGTCCAAATCCTAAGCAAGGCAAAGCACTGCAGTTGGTATGAAGATGCCAAGTAATAAACCAAACAAACTAAAAATCCTGCCTAAGGATTTTGACCAAACCAAGGAAACCACATCTTGGGCCTCTGTGCCTCAGTCACTACATGGAGACCCCGAGCATCCGATCCCACGTGGCAGCAGAAACAGCGGTGATGCCTCCTTGAGAGCGTTATTGCTCGAAATCAAGAAGAAAACAGACAAGAACCTAGAGATCGTGACAGCCTTTGATGGTAAAATCGTGGCTCTCAATACTCGCATGGATGTGCTGGAAGGGCGAGTCACCAGCCTGGCCCAGTCAGCCGCTCAGACTGATTCCTCGGTCGAAAAGCAGAAGGTGAAAACCCAACAGTGCACCCAGGCCTTGGAACACTTGGCCCAAGAAAACAGCCACCTGGGCACCTGCGTGGAGCTACTGGAGAGCCAGGCCCGGGCCCGCACGCTGAGGATTCTTGGGTTACCAGAGAAAGAGGAGGGGAGAGACTTGATTGCGTTCCTGGAGAAATGGCTGCCCACCGTTCTGCAGCTAGACGCACCCGGGGATCCCATCGTCGTGGAGAGAGCCTACAGGGAAACAAACCGGAGGCAGAAGCCTGGGGCAGATGCGTGCAGGACTGTTATTGCTCACTTGGCGGACTTACGAGGTAGAGAGAGAATATTACAGCAGGCCAGGAGGCTGAAGAATATTATGTATAGGCGAAAGCAGATCCTGATCTTTCCAGATTTAAGCCCCATCCCCCAAGGTAAAAGGAGGTGCCGGGTCCTAGGCTGATGGGAGTTATACAGAACCTGGAAATGGCAGTCCTGTAGCCTGCAATGCACAGGGCTCAGTCATGAGCAGGCTCTGTGAGGATGGGGAGAACGTGGCCCACCCTTCTTTGTATGTGAGGGACGTCAGGCAGCAGCATTGTGCAACACGTGGGGACAAGGAGAGCTGGGGAGGTCATAGAGAAGAGAGTTGTAGTAACCAAGGCGTGAGAAGATGCAGACTGGGAGGAGGGTTTCAGCAGGGAGGAGCTGGAACAGTGGAGGACACGGGGAAAGTTGCTAAAATGGCTTCAGGCAGAGAGGTGGGATGAGAGGGGGAGTTCTGAGTGAAGGTTATGGGCCATGGAAGCCCATGGGAGGACTGAGTCAAGGAGGAAGATAGTGGAAATGCGGTTGTGCTTGGGGATGCTCTTCTTGCCCAAGGGAGAAGCTTCTGCCTTAGAGGGGTTTAACTGGAGGAACTGGTTAAACTTTATCCCCGTTGAAAATCCCAAAAGGCAACACTCAAAACCCCACCCTCCCTGTCCAGCAGCGCCAGCCCTCTGGGCAGGACCAGTTTTAGGGCTCAGCCTCTCACCAGGAGGATGTGAGGGCATTATAGGAAGATGACAGCTGATTCTTTTCCTTCCTTTCTGCAGAGTTCAAGGAGGCCTTCATGCTGTTTGACAGGACCCCAACCGGGGAGATGAAGATCACCTACAGTCAGTGTGGTGATGTCCTGCGGGCTCTTGGGCAGAACCCAACCAATGCTGAAGTCCTGAAGGTGCTGGGCAAGCCCAAACCAGAAGGTAAGAGAAACCAGGCCAAGGTGGAGAGACATTGCATTCATTTGTTAATAGCTGCAAAGTAGATTATGTTTCATGTAGGAGATAGACCTTCAGCTTCATTCCCATCTAATGGCTGTGCAGTGTTCTATAATGAACTGGCATATCTATATCTATTTACCTACCTACCTATCTGTGTATCTATCTATACCCATACACATCTCTCGCTCTTGGTTTAAGCATTTATATCCATTCGTCACCATGCCAGAGCTGAGCGAATAATCCATAACTTAATCTAACTTCACTTCTTCCATTAGCAAAACATCCGGGAGGAAATTGTAATTTTTCTCTACGTTATTCTTTATTGGACAACATTTTCTTGCAAATTTCATTTACTCCATGACTTGCCATTCATAATTCCAGCTGCAGTTGGTTGTGTAAGTCATCTGGTACTGTTCAGTTCATTGATTGTACAAACGTCACCTTCATCCTCACGTTTCCGGTGCAAACGCTCGTGGAGAGCAAATTTAAAATGAGCTTTACCTATGCATTTATGCACATCAGCTTAAAATTCACTCTCTGTGAGTATTATTATCATGATCATTATATTGTCGTAGCACATAGGAGGCCTAGTCAAGGACCACAACCCTGTTGAGCATCCATGCGAGTGAAACCTGACTGCACAAATGTTTGCAGAAAGTAAACACAAAAGGGACAGAATCACAGCAGAAGGGTTGTATTGGTGAAATGTGTTGGTCAATCTGATTTTGCATTTTCTGGCAAAAAATTTTGCCCAGCTCTACCTTTATATGCAGTTCCTGCAGGACAGAGGTGGAGGGCAGCAGGGTAGGGAAGCTTGTGCTGAATTGTTTTGTAGACAGATTGGAGACTTTGGTCACTCGGGCCTTCAGTCTAACACCTTTCACCAGCGCACAGTTCACTGTATAGATGAAGTGACAAGGAGCAGGGAAGAAAAGAGGATCAGGGGCAGGGGAGTGGGGCAGAGAGGAAGTGGGTTTCTATTCACGAGGCGTCTATTCTACACTGTACCTCTGAGACAATCGTGTCTGCAACAGAAAGTCCCACACGAGGTCCCAGGCCTGATCTCTGGCTCACTGTGGCTCGTGGACTCTGCCCGTGTAATAATAATTTTGGTTGGACTTATTCCTTGGAGGTTACATCACATGACAAAATCTCTAATTAGAGATTAATCTTGATATCCTGGAGACTCCAGGAGAATCCTGGAGGATTGGCAACCCTACCCGGACTACTGAAGACAGCTTAGGATGCAATTGATTCAGCCACCCTAGGGTTGTCAAGACAGCAACAGGGCTGTGCTCCTAAACCCCTTGAGCAGGGTGTTCCCTTCCATTGACATCTCCTCTTTAGGGCAGAATATACTTTGGGGCAGCAGGAGACGGAATGGAGAGCCACACAGCCATCCTGTGGCATCAGGGACGATAGGAGAGGAGGGTCAGAGCCAGTCTCCCCCAGCTGCAAAATCTTTCATCGCTCATTTAGTTGCAGATCATGAGTCACCAAGAGCTACTGGGTCAGTATGCACCTGAGGCTCCTCTTCTTACTCACCCAGGCTCCGTGTCCCTCATGTTGTCAGTGCTCTGCATCTTGACCCTCCGCCCCATCCCCACCCAGAGCTGGTTCCCCGCTCCCTGCAGCTAGAATAAAACTCTCCCATTCCGCAGCCGCTATCTCTCTGCCGATGCCCTTGGGAGGGCTTTAGTGGAGGCCTGAAGGGGAAATGTAGCCCGTAACATAACAGAAGATTCATGGTGGAATTAGCCCCCCGGAGAGAAGAACCAATGAGCTCCGGCCGTTTCATAATTTAAAGAAAATGACTCAGAGACTCTTTATGCCTGGATAATTCCGCCCCTCCCCCCATCAAATATCACCCTTGATCTGGCTCAGAGGACACACTAACCTCATCGGATGGCTCATCCTTGATTGCATTGTTCTTGGGCCAGATCCTCAGCAGGTGTAAATCGGTGTAGCTTCGTTGACTTCAGGGAGCTATGTGGATTCACACCAGCTGGAGATGTGGCTCCTTGATTTTACTTTTTGCTTAGTAAGAACCTGCTGATTGGGAAACTCTCCGGGTGCCTGAACAATACCCATAAACCAGTTAACAAAGGAGTATGTTGACCAGGTCAATCAAAATAATTCCCACAACCCCTGTAGGCAGCCTTTCCCCTGAGGAGAAAGCCAGAGCAAAGTAGTGATCCTTGTATAATGCCCTGATGGTAAAAACACGGATTCTGACAAACTGACAAGGGAAGTGAATTCCAGAGCTCTCTGCTGAGAACATTCTGCCCCCATCACCTGAAATTCAAACCTCGGAGCTATTAGCAAAGGCAGACCAGCTGATCTCCACTATGACCTATCCTAAGCATTCATAAAACATGAGACAGGCCCCCAAAATTCATGACATTTTTAATAAAAAATAAAAAATAGGGGAGTGCTTTTTTATTTGCCTTCTATTTCTGAGCCCTTAGAATGCACGAGAGGCACATTTTCAAGCTGCTCTCCATGACAATGAGGACTAGAAATATACTCGCTTTTCATGCAGTCTCCTGATTCCAGAAGCTGGGGCTTTGATGAAACCCCCAAGGAAAATAGCGAGAGTTGGCAACACTAGATCAAAGCCGCTGAGATGGGTGATTATATCCCAGACTTTCCTCTCTGCCTAGAAACTGCTTTTTTTTTTAAACCCAGCCATGATCGGAGAAGTAACTGCATAAAAATGGCCCCTTCGGACTTAGCAGATCAACTCACTGTGTTTTCTGAGTCAGTTCTCCTGGCTTGACGGACACAGACAAGTTGTTATTCCTGTTAGTCCTGCAGACCCAGAGCAGTGAGTTGGGCCCTGATTCTCCACTGCCTGGATTTAGTAGCGTTTTATTGCACGGTGATGACTGCACAGGGTGCAGGGCAAAGGGAAATCAGCTGCTGGGTTCTACTCTGCCTCACGAATCTAACCCAACTCCCCCAGACGTCCCTGGACTCTGGGTCTTGGCAAATAAAAAAGCCTTTGTCAATGCGACTAAAGAGTTTCATCTAGAAGGCTCTGGTCTCTGCCCACCTGGGGCCATTAGAGTGTGCCTGGCAATTCCCACAAGAGTAGGTGGCAAGCCTCATTTCCCAACCAAATTCTAATGTGTTTCATTGCCAATCTACTTCCGTCAATTTGCTGCCATAGTTTCAGTTTGGACACAGGATTCGTCTCCATTTCCTTCCCACAGATATGGTTAAAGAGCTGACTGGTTCTACCTCAGGTGGCTTTGAGGTAGCAAAGTGATTGCTCTGTGTGTGTGTATATATAGCTGGTAAAGTGCTTTGGTATAAAATGTGCCATAGACTGTTTAATTAATGCCACCTCCTTTGTCTTCTCCGTCAGAAATGAACACGAAGATGCTGGACTTCGAGACCTTCCTCCCAATGCTGCAGCACATCTCCCGCTCCAAGGACCAGGGAACCTTTGAGGACTTTGTGGAAGGCCTGCGTGTCTTTGACAAGGAGGGGAATGGCACAGTCATGGGTGCAGAACTGCGCCATGTGCTTGCCACACTGGGTATGGGCCGGAGACAAAGCTAGATATCGTTGACCTGTAATCGTGCCGTTTGGGGTGGCAGGGTCAGAAATCCGGGCTGTGCAGGTCGGGGTGAAATCCCGTGGGCGGGACCTTGCTCGGGTATAATGCATTAGAGGAGTGACCCTTTTATCTGTGGAAGACAAGGATATAATCTTCCTCTTCCAAATGCTGACTCTAGCCAATGCCCCAATTTAGTATTAATATGGACATTACAGTACTGGCATTAGAAGAGTGAATGGCTCCAGAATAGAGAGCCTTTCACATCCAGGGCACTGGCTCTAATGCGACCCAGGCTGGTTAATGACTCAAAGTTGTTCCCAACTATCTGACAGCTGCCCTCTTATTCCTTTCTCCTCTTCTCTGGATTCCTCTAGTGGTTCCAAATATGTAGCCCATTGGCTCATGTCTGCTCTGTTAATCAACCTTCGATACAGCGACTAGCCGAGAGACGAATCTTCTCCCAGATGTTAACCTGACATGAGCCCCAGCTGGGGGCAGTGCTGGAGTCCTCATCCTAACCAACCTGTCCTTCTGCTTCTACTCCTAGGCGAGAAGCTGACAGAAAGTGAAGTGGAGCAATTGATGACAGGACAGGAAGATGCCAACGGCTGCATCAACTATGAAGGTAGGAGGAGAAGATTCCTTTCATGGCTACCCCAGCCATTTCAGTCTGCTCTGAGATGCTAAATGTATCTTCTGACCACACGGAAAGAGAAACCAGGGGTCAGTGAGTGGGGAAAACCCATCTGACGCCTGTCCTAGTCAACTAATTTGAGATCGGGAGAATGTACCAGAGATTTCCAACAAAGTGTTCCCAGGATGCAATGTGCCTAGTGGTCACATATGCAAAGGCAGGGGAGTGAGGGCAGTTCTAACCCGGACTCTGACAGTAGTTTGGTGTGGGTCAGTGGGACAGAGGTGAAGTGCCTGTGTATTCAATAGTTCACTGGTGCTGTGTCATATGAGCTCAAAATGCAGAAGATCTCCCAGGCTTTCCAATCAAAATGCCCCAAGAGCAATTTCAGTAGCAGGGAAAGGGGCGCTTTGCAATGCTCCTCTAGACTGACTCCTTGTCTAGAACCTAGAAAAGGTTTGCCAGTAGAACTAGTCTAGCTAGAGCAGCAAACCCTCCTAGTGGAGACCAGGTTATACCAGCAAAAGAGTGCTTTTTGCTGGTGTAGCTTATGCCAGTTGCTTGAATGAAATAAGCTATACCAGCAAAAAGCTCTTTATTGTCAGTATAACGTCGCCTATGCTAGGGCTTTTGGCAGTATAGAAATGTTGTAAAAATAACCCACACTCCTAACTGACATTATTATATCAGGAAACGTTTCTAGTATTGACCTGGATTCCAGGGCACCCATTGCCCCGCTAGCTCCAGCCATGATCAGACCTTGCATCTGGGGTTTCTGATGAGCAATAAATGGATGCTGATGTTGCTGCCAAAGTGCAAGTCAAATCATTTCCCCTGTTTTTTAAAGCCCTTTTCTGATCTCTGTGGAAATCCAAACTTGGAAGCTGGGGTGAGATTTCAAGCTGCTGTCCAAACTCGGCTCATGATGTCCACTTCACCCTGGTTTAGAGCCTTGTGGACAGGGCTAGTGTGAGTGTGATGCAGTTACTGTGGGCTCCTAAATCCCCAGGGGCTGGAAAGCCTGGAAGCTTGTGGGGGATATTGTCAGTGTACATAACCCCAAGGAATCACATAGAACATAGGAACATGTAGCACCATGACTCTTAAACACAGGTGGGTGCCCCAGCACCGATACTCCAGCCTTTTGTTTCTGGTAGTCTTGACTTCAGTGGGATTACTCAGCATGTGTAAAGTTAAACACGTTTGCAGGACTGGGGCCTAATCCTTTTTCCTTTCATGGATCACTTTAATGATGAACCTCTATACTAGGCTCCGGTGCACCATTGCAATGCCTGCCTTCCACTAACATGCGGGTACTCTAACCCACCGTTATAGGGTGGCTGGCCCTTTAAAGGGAGAAGGGTCTCAGCCCTACCTGTGACACAGCCTACTGTCCTCCCCAGGTGGGGAAAATGAAGCAAGTCATGTGACCAGGGGGTCATGTGACCCAATCAGGCCTCTCTCTGGGGTAGATAAGGAGGAGGTCTGGGGAGACAATCCAGGCAGGAAGGTGTGGAAGTGGGAATGGGCTGGCAGTAAGGAGTTTGAAGGCTCCTGTAGGGGATCCTGAGACACCAGGGGGAAAAAGACTCTAACTAGGTAGTGCTGGGAGTGGCAGGGAAGGTTCCAGGTGGCAAATACTGGGAGTGGCTTGATGAAAAGTGGGAAATGATATTTATATAGACCTTAAAATATATGAACTCTTGATTTGGACTTTGAGGATTTTATTTTGGAACTGTTTATGACACTAAACCAGCCCATGTAAAGGGGCTAGAAGACAGCCTTTATTAAATTACTCAGGCACCTTGAGGAGAGGGAAACTGAGGCAAAGATGCTGCAGAGCCACCCTGTGCCACAAGGGGGCGCTCTGAAGGTTACACCCACCTTGTTACAGCCACCATGGAGCTTGATTGTTCTACAGCAGCCCAAGTCCATCAGAGGACTGACTTGCACTCAGTTAAATGGAAGGTGATTGGTATTAAATGGTGCCGCTGAGCTCTGAGACTGGAATATGCAAAAGACCTACAATCAGGGCAAGGTTTTCAAGAGTGTTCAGCATGTTGACTGCATGCTGGGTGCTGAAGTCTTTTGAGAATCTGGCTGTAAGTGGCACAGTGGGAACTCCTGAGAGCTGAGTGTTTTTGAGCAGCTCTCTTCAACCGGGGCTTCGGGAGGTGCTGAGCGCTTGGAAATCTCACCCCAATCTCTATGGGAAATTTGTCCCCACCTCTGGTTAACTGGTGGAGTTACCCAAAAGGTCGGGGAACTGCTGTGATGCGCTGTTTGTGCCAGAGGGCAAGGGCTCGCATTCTGGTTTGGGTGGATTTTCTAATGCCTTTCTTCTTGTTTCCTGCTCAGCTTTTGTCAAGCACATCATGTCTGGTTGAAACAAGAATCTTCAGGGTGAGTTTGTCTTGATCTTTCATTGTTTACCCTGAAATGTTTGAACCAACTCGGTCTGGTGGCCTTGCAATGAAATACCATCAAGATACCAACCAAAAAAAAATCAAAGTTCATGCTGATGAGCTACATTCAAAATTGTGTTGTTTTAAAAAAGATTTCTAGCCGCGTGAGCCATATGGCTGTCAATTCTGATGTGGAAAAGGCAGAAGTATTCAATAAATGTTTCTGTTCTGTATTTGGAAATAAGCAGGAAATAAGCAGTGTTTATATTTTATAGTGATAATGAAATACTTTCTATTCCATCAGTAACTGGAGAAGTGGGAGTGTCTTTAAATCTGCAGGACATGATACCCAAAAGTATTAAAACAATTGGCCAAACAGATCTCTGAACCGTTAATGTTGATTTTTAACATATCTTGGATTATTGGGGAAGTTCTAGAGGACTGGGAAAAAGCTAATGTTGTCCCAGTATTTAAAAGCGGTAAACAGGATAACCCAAGTAACTGTAGGCCAGTTAGGATTTGATTTGATTATGGTCTCCAAATATCGATATAAGGTTGTTTCTAACAGTAGATAGCTCTTTAATCTAGCACTACAAGGCAAACTGAAATCCAGTGGTTGGAAACTGAAGCTAGACAAATTCAGACTGGAAATAAGGCATAGATTTTTAACGGTGAAGGTAATTATTAACTATAGGAACAAACACCTAGGGATGTGGTGAATTCTCCATCACCTGAAATCTTGAAATCAAGACTGGATCTCTTTCCAAAAATATGTTCTAGCTCGAACAGACATTATGGGCTAGATACAGAGATTACTGGGTGAGGCTCTTTGGCCTGTTATGCAGGAGGCTGAACTAGATTGTCATAGTGGTCCCTTTTAGCCTTAAAATCTATGACTGTAGGGATGTTGACATGTTAAAAGTTGTTTGTTTAAAAAAAAATTCCTTACTTGTATTACCAAAAACTGTTATTAAAACTGAAAATATGCAAAATTCACCGTTTATGCGGTTTATTTTGCATTTCACTCAGTTTGCACGAGGAAAATAGACCAGTAAGAGTCACTTTCCTTAGGGGGACATTATCAACTTGAAATCTAGTCAGTTTAAAAAAAAAGAAAGAGTTGAAAGTAATGTTAGATGCTTCCGCTGCCCCTGAATCCCCCTACTGATTTTTGTGGTTTCACTAACTCAGTGTCTTGTGTTCGTAAATGTTTTCTCCCCTGCTGCTTTGTGAAAGACCCCTACCAACAAAGGCGAAAGAGAGTGACTGCACAAAGTGCTGTCAAATACACAAAATCAACAAATTCTAAAGAAATAGAAGTACTTCTTTCCCCTCCAGTCTTTTTCAGTTTTAGGTGTAACTTGAAACAGCAGAAGATAGATTTTTTTTTAAAAAGCAAAAGCTTGTGGTCAGGAGTCTGATTTCTAGGTAAATAATGTCCCTGCAATTTCTAATCATTTTCTCTTGCATTCTCGTGCACTATCTCAATGCTGCAATGTTTAGGTGGCAAACGCTGCAGGGGGACATTTAACTCCAAACACAACTATGTTAATGGAATACTATTTGTAATGTCATGAAAGCATTGCTATTAATATTTTGGCTCCGTCTGAGAGTTGGTTCTATTATTTCACAGACTTACTATTATCATCCTCCATTGTCATTACATTAAAATGCTCTGTGTTTTGCCTTCCAGGTTTTCTGAAATGTTTCCATCCAACTAAGCATTACCAGCAGCAAGAATTCTTGACCCATGTCCCTTCCTTCCTAAAATGTCCTGAGTCCGCAGCTGTATCTCACATGAGCCACAACAAAGAGTCCTCATAGCCACAATGTACCAACCCTACACTATTGTGTGCAATCACCTCTGTATATAAAAGGACACATGTCTGCCCTTCCATTTTTAAGCTTAATTTATTCTTTTGATCTTTTTCCCCTGCGTCGATTGACCCATTAAATTTCACCCACACCCTGAATGTCATCTGTTTGCACTGGTCCTTTTAAAAGCTAGATCAAATGTCATCCTCGCTTACTGGGCACGCTCACTAAAGGTAAACTCGGGGGTGGGGGGAAAGTGGGGGGGGCTAGTCAGCTTGCAAGATGTCAGCTGTTAGATTTCGCAAGGAGGCAGGATGGAAAAGGTGTTTGTACAGGAAGGGAGCAGAGCCAGCTTTGGGGACCCGTGAAAACGACATGTGAAGGAGGAGGTGAGATCTGTAGGGCAAGTAGTGGAGACTGAACTCTGTCTCCACTAAACGGGGTGTGCCCCATGGCTGAACTTTGCCGTGGAGGAAAACTTGCGCTGCTGCTGCCCCTGCTCTGTGGGTATAGGAGGTCAGCCTCCGGGGCTGTCAAGTCACCACCTTTCATCACGGCCAAAATTAAAAGAACGTTTATTGGGCCAAATCCTGCTCTCAGTTATAGTGGTGTAAATCGGAGTCACTCCACTGAAGGGGTGACTCTGGATTGACAACAGTGTCTGAGACCAAAATTTGGTTCATAGTGTTTGTTTCCAGCACAGTCATGGTTCTTGGGACGCTAGCACGTGGTGACTCCCCATGATATTCTGTAAGAGAGTCCCACTGGTCTGTGTTCAGAGGTAACTTGAATGTCTATTTAACGCTCTGCTTCTGGAGATGCCATCTTGGGTGGAAGGAGGGATGTCCCATCTTGGAGCTAGGGGAGTGCAGGAGTAAATGGAGGGGTCTTGCTTCAGAGTAGGGGGAACAAGAGGGGTATCCTGTGAGGAGCGAGTAGAAGGAGCCCATCTACAGCTACTGCACAATGACTCCTGTAAACAGCTGCTCAAATGTGCTTAGACTCAGAAAATGTCTCGGAAATAGTGACATTGGAGCCCTGTCTGTACTAGGAAAACAGGTATGTTTTTAAATAGGGCAAGTTGTAGTTTTAGCTTGATTTCTCTCACCCAGCGAACATGTTAAAACTAAATGTGATCTGCCTACACTAGGATTTTAAAATGTTAGTGATCATGTTTTAAAAACACACCTTTTCTCCTAGTGTCAGTATCCCAGAGTCTTTCCAGACTGATTCATGTACAGTTATTCCAGATTGGATTGGCTCCATTTGCAAGTCAAAGGGCTATTCCACCACTAAATGCCACCTGGGACCTGAAGTTCCAAGCCATGGAGACAGAGCTCTCCTCACAATCCTAGAATTGTCCCTCCATAGCAGTGAAGTCTAGTGCAGTGACTCTCAGCCAGGGGCATGAGTTGATGTACCCCCTAGAAGACCTCTGCGCCCTTGGGGGTACGCAGAGGTCTTCTAGGGGGTACATCAACTCATCTAGATATTTGTCCAATTTTACAACAGGCTACATAAAAAGCATTAACCAAGTCAGTACAAACTACAATTTTATACAGACAAAATGAGAAAGTCAGCAATTTTCCAGTACTAGTGTGCTGTGACACTTTTGTATTTTATGTCAGATTTTGTAATCAAGTAGTTTTTAAGTGAGGTATCAGGGAGTAGCCGTGTTAGTCTGTATCCACAAAAACAACAAGGAGTCCGGTGGCACCTTAAAGACTAACAGATTTATTTGGGCATAAGCTTTCATGGGTAAAAAATGCTTGCCATTTGGATTATGCAAACTTGGCTGTGAGTGATCCATCGTTGCCTTTGAAAGTCAAAGAAGGTGGTAGATCTCTTCTGTCAAGGCAAAGTGAAGTTTCGAAGGAACCTAGTAACTTCCTAATCAATAGAAATAGAATGACTAACACAAGTGGAAATACATTATACCAGAAGAGTTCACAGCCAGTAATAGAGGAAGAAGGAAGTCTTCCTAAGAAGTGGGTTTTTTACCCACAAAAGCATCTGAAGAAGTGGGTTTTTTACCCATGAAAGCTTATGCCCAAATAAATCTGTTAGTCTTTAAGGTGCCACCAGACTCCTTGTTGTTTTTAAGTGAGGGGAAACTTTGCGTATGCAAGACAAATCAGACTCTTGAAAGGGGTATAGTAGTCTGGAAAGGTTGAGAACCACTGGTCTAGGGGTGTGGCAGTGTAAAAGGAAACCATTCTGTCATAGGAAAACAGCATTTTTTTAGAAGCGCATATTGCAAAATATGGAATACAACTGAAGAAATCAAATGTGCTGTATTATTGATCAATAACTGTCTCTGAGTAAGGTCTGACAGAACACAAATGTATTGAATATGTTAATTTCAGTTTGGAATATTGAATTCATATACTGTATGCAGATTGCATACATTTTTCAGATTTGGAAGGAAAAGGTTTCTGTATAAAAGAACATTTCCCAGCCCAAAGCAAGAAGGAAAATATTTTACAAAATACAAAGAGGAGGTGGGTGTTTGAAAGAAGCAATGACAAATATCCTTCAAACTAAAGAGCAGCTAAGTCAAGCCTGTCAGACTGAGAAGGCCTGAAAAAGGAAACTGGTGAAAAATGACTCATTGAAGACTAAAATAACATAGAACATTCGTTTTTCTCACTTTCTCTATAGCTTTGAAAGTTTAAAAAAAAATCTCATTTCAAGTTTTATTTTTCCGGGAACTGAAGGCTGACGTGAGCATGTGGCTATGGTATTCTAGCTCCAGGACAACCATGTCCCGGAAGTGGAGTGATGGATGCATGATACATATCCAGAGCTTGATGCTCCTTTTTCTTCTGCCTCTCCCTTGGATTGTGCCTCGACATTCACTGCAAGGACAGATGGGTCAAGGGGGAGAGAGGTGCCTTGCGTGCTTAGATTTGCTTTTTCCTTCTGTAGTCTCCAGAAGTTCTCCAGCAAATCCTCAAACGTTCTCTCACACAGCCTTCCCCGTTCGTTCTCCCGCGTGCATTTGTGAGCAGGCTGGTTACAAGGATAGAAGCTGTTGGGAAAGAATTTCACTCGTGCTCTATTTAAGGCTAGATGTGGCTCCACCCCCTGCTTGGGGTGGTACAAAGAGGGGCCCATCCACATAATTACTGGCAGCTCAGCTGGCACTGGCAGGGGCCCACTGTAGGCAGGCTAGGGGCTTCCCCCTCCCCAAACCATCATGCCCCATATTCAGGCAGGCTGGGGTTCATCCCAGAGAAAGAAGAACTCAGCCTTCACCCACCTGTGTAGAGGATTTGGAGTGAGGGCTGTGATCAGGCATACATACCCTATTTAAATCCGGCTTTGCCAAGTAGCCACAGAGTGAAATTAACAAGACTGGCTGGGTCAGTGCTGCTATTCAGGACACCGGGCAGCGGTGAAACTGTCAAGAATCATTCAGTTTCACTCTGCAGATGCGTCTTGGGAAAGCTCTGACAGCAGGGAACTGGATCAGGAGCCTGGACTTTGTTCCTGGCCCTCTACAGAATAGTAGATATGGCAACCATGTGGCTAACCCCCTTCTGCCTGTTCCTATACCCTGAAAGGGAGGAGAATCTCTTCTCTTTCCGGTCTCCCCGTTTTGCCAGCCAACTTCAGGATTCATAGTTTTCTTCCTTTGCTGTTGAATGGGCTGAGAGTAATTTCATTGCCACCCGTAAGATACAAAAATTAAGATGAATGACCTGTCAGGACAAGTTGAAAGAGGCAGCTTCAGTTTAAAAGCAGGGGCTCACCGTGAACTAATGCAAACCAGCAAAATGGGGAGACTGCCTGACAATGTTAGGGGTGGCCATTGGCTGTCATGGTTGTATTTACACTTCTCCTGGGATGGGCAGGAAATGGGTAATTGTCAGGGGAGCAGCTGACTGGATGGGGGTATCTGGAGGAAGCTGGGTAGTTGGGGAGATTCTGAAGGGGAAACTGAGGAAGCTGGAGGTGCTGGGAGAGCTAGGAAGGATGGGTTTGCTGGGGGGCTGGATAATGTCCCTTGAGCTCTGGAGCAGAACCCAGCCAGGACTGTGTTTCCCATAGGAGACAGCCATCCATCCAACATCATTCCCTTCTAATGTCCGTTCAGCGGCCTATATGAATTGAGTTGGTAGCTATCTAGCTACCTTTCCATATGCCAAGCATCACCATGACAGAGCTGATGAATAATTCATAATGAACAATTTATTTGACTAATTTCACTTCTGTTCGCAAAATACACAGAGAAGATGGCAATTGTCTCAATTTCATTCTTTATTCAACAGCATTTTTTGCAAGTTTCCTTTGCTCCGTGGCTAGCTACTCAAAATTAAAGCTGAGTGGCTTAGATGCGATTGGCTATGGAAGTCACCTGGCACGTGTCTGATCGCTGATTGAATAAGTGTTGCTTTTGTCCTCAGGTGTCTGGTGCAAATGCTTGTAAAAAGCAAGTTTAAAATGAGCTTTTCGTGAGTACAAGATTAGAATTTTGCTCTTTTGTCTGCCGTAGTATCTGAGTGCCTCACAGTCTTTAATGTATTTATCCTCACTGTGAGGCAGGGCAGTGCTGTTATCCCCATTTTACAGATCGGATGCTGAGGCACAGAGAGCTTAAGTGACTTGCCCAAGGTCACATGTGAAGACTGTGGCACAGCAAGGAATTAAACACAGGTCTCCCAAATCCTAGGTTGTGCCCTAGCCATAGGCGCCAACTTTCCCCAGCGCCGGTGGGTGCTCGCTCCCCCCCGCCCCTGGCCCCGCCCTGACTCTACCCTTTCCCTGCCCCTGCCCCGCCCCCATTCCAAACCCTTCCCCAAAGTCCCCACCCCAACTCCATCCCCTCCCTGCCCCTATTGAACCCCTTCCCCAAATCCCTGCCCCGGGCCCGCCTCTTCCCCGAGCGTGCCGCATTCCCCCTCCCTCCCAGCCGTGTGAAACAGCTGTTTCGCAGCGCAAGCAGTGGGAGCTAGGGGGGAAAAGTGGGCATGCGGCACACTCAAGGGAGGAGGCGGAGGCGAGCTGGGGCGGGGGGGCAGGGCGGGGAGCTACCGGTGGGTGCTGAGCACCCACCAATTTTTCCCTGTGGGTGCTCCAGCCCCAGAGCACC